CTCTTGGACACACAACCACAACTACCAAAAGTGGAAAAACTGGAACTTCATGAGACGTGCAAAATTGGAGACTCTTGAGAAGTGGAAAATGGAATTTTGAAGATGAAACCATATCACTCTCACAAACATGAAAAAATAATCTCGGGAATACACGAAAAATTAATTTAGAAATAAGTAAATGAATTAAAAATAAAAATATCTCGGTAAGCGCATTGCGGCCGACACTCAGCCGACCCCAACGGCCACTACCTCTAGTAATAAGCCGACTTATTATAATAAAGTAAAATATACGCAGCAAATTATCATGTACTGTACGTACTGTCATACAGTGACCGTAGCTTGCACGCTTTGGTTAGACTGGTTCGTGGCCCCATTGTTTGTGACCTGCGGCGCAAGGTTAGCGCCTGAGGCCAGTCTACGTCTTGGCTAGCATTATTGGTTATTTATGACGTAGTCGTAATGTCACGTGCCGATGGAAACGGCTGCGATTGGCTATTTGTAAAGTGTCGCTCGCGACTGTCGCTGGAGATTAGAAACGTTCCTAAATATTTTTGTCGTCGAGGTTGTTGCCGGTCGTGTCGCGTGTGTGTGCAATGGCTCATAGGAAACAATAGTTTCTAATTTTCTGAAAAGTTGTTTGTCGTTACGGTCGGTCGCTGTTGCTGCAGTGTGTCTTGGCCTTTAATCTAAAACATATCATGCTTGTTATCGATGATGGTTTTCTTATACAACAAAAATGTGATAAAGGGTATTTAAGAAGGTGATACTGCATGGCAAGTGTTTTATCATAATTTTATAACCAATGTCCCATCAAACGTTGCAGTACTGGCCCATTACCGAGTGCCAGTACCGCCCTGGTACTGGCGTGCTCATCGGCGTTGCATTGGGTGCTGGTACTGGCCCAGTAAAGCAGGGTACACACCAGGCAAATTTATTCGCACGACCGCAGCGGTTTTAAAACCGCCGGGGAATTCGCATGATGTGTCCGCTCAAGCGAGGGCGAATTTTGCCATGAATTTCATTTGCACCGAAATTCACAGTTATAAAACGTTTGATATTTTTGCCGTGAATTTTTACCGCTGCGTACAGATTTGCGTCGTGTGTCCGGGGAAGCGAAAATCAAGCCGGCCGATGTTATATAATGCAACAAATCATTGATCAGTGCTAATCACGTGATTGAAAGATGGACCTTTCACCAGAGATCACATGACTGGTGGAGCCATGGTTGGAGCTGTGTGGCGACAGTAGATCGCGTGTAATGTGTCCACTTAATTATCGCATGCGGGTGCGAATATTTTCGCTGCGGATCTGAGCGCAGCGAAATTTGCGTAGTATATGTCCCAGGCTTAAGGCGCAGTACCGGCCCAGTATTGTGCCGGTACTGCCATGCGGTACTGGCCCAATGCTGGGCCTGTACTGCAGCGCCTTACTGGGCCAGAAGTGGACCATTATTGTGCCAGTACTGGCCCAGTATTGTGGCTGTACTGGGCCAGTAAGGCACTGTACCGGCCCAGTATTATGCCAGTACTGCCATGCGGTACTGGCCCAGCGGTGTACTAAATATTATATTTAGCTGTACTATAATTAACGATACACAACCAACAAGCAGATATCAATTTAACAATAAGTTTTTATTCATAATTACTGGTTACAGGAAATGAACAATTCCTCTTCTGGGGTTGGAGGTGGACTTGGTGCTCTTCTTAACCTCCTATTTATCTTTGGCCTTGAAAGGGACATTCCTTGATCCCCTGAAAGACAAGAAAGATGGAAAACGTGCAACATGTATGTAAACAATCAGGCTAATCCGGTAAATAAAAATAGCCTGCCTAAGACTTCATACACAATGCATTATGCTATTCTGTCTTACGTTCGATGTATAGAAACTACCAAAAGAAGAACCCGATCATACAATTACTCTGCAATGTCTCCCATCCGTTGTGATGTTTTACGTTTACGTCTGCAACAAAACGTAACAATCTGTTCAAGCCAACACGATTAGTTTTCATCCTTATCAATAGAAAAGCAGGAAAAAGCCTAATAAATTATTGTAGCTATATATATATATATATATATACATGGGTAGAAATTAACTCTTGAACACGGGAGTCCAATGGACTCCCTACCCTCAAAAAGAGGG